AAATATTATTTCCAATAAATCATCAACATCTAAACCTCTGTAGTTCTCAATACGAGCTTCTGTAGAGATGTTACAGAAATAAAGTCAGTCTGGTTAGTAATGAGGGAAGCTGGTGATGCTGTTTGTGGAGTTGTTTAATCAGATCTTGAGAGATTGAATGTCTTTTATCTTCAGTTGATTTCATCTAAGGCTGTGGCTGGAAGTCAGGTTAAACAAATGATATTTGCCTTGTATATAAGGAAGAAGACCTTTTTTCTAGTGGAATCCATCAGTTTTATAAATGTGATTTCACAATGTGAATGTGTTCAATTTTGCTGTCTTTTGTCTGTAAGAAAAAAAACATTTCTCAACTCTGAAAAAAAAAAAGATGAACATATCAGGTTAAAATGACATTTTTACACATGAAAATCATAATTGCAATAATCACAGTTATTTGTCTTGGACGTGGCTCTGGCCTTGATGCAGCTCCAGGGCGTCCACATTCTCATGAGACGTGCTTCTCGATCATTTGAGGAGTCTTGGAGTACGAGCAGAAGAAGAGTGTGTTGTTGTCGAGTCAGCAGGCGACTCTTCTAGGAGTAGATTTACATACGTAACTGAGACATTTTCATTTATTAATATAGTTCACACAGGTCTGGTACATATTTATCATTTTTGTGATGTGAAGCTTAAGTATTAAGATGTTTTGTTTCTATGTTCATTATGTTTGAACTGAACTAACATACAGTATATGATCACAGATCCAGCAGAAACTGAAGTCTGTAGGACTCATGGATCATTATTCAGAGGTACGAGAGTTCATTAATGCTGAAACAGTCAGTCTGCAGTGCTTTGTCAAGAACTATCATCATTTTATACCTTTGATTTCATTTAGAAAGTCTTGATTCTGTTCATCTGTCCATCTTTCCTGCAGAGATTTTGATCATTCTTAAGACTGCAGTGTTTGCTGCTCCTACTGTGATTCTTCTTCAGATCATCTGTGCAAGAAGAGCTGGTGAGTTTTTCAGATGATTCACATTGATCTGGAACAATCTGCACTCATGAGAGCTCAGTAAATGCTTTTGTGTTGAATTATTTTGCAGGGAGGAAGGACTCGCAGCGCCCAAAGAAAATAGAGATTAATACAATATCAAGATAAAAATACTCTGCAAATAACAGGCCAGATTACAGCAAGATTTATCTTCATATCAATTAATTTTACGGATATTTGCACACAGTTTTGAAGGATCTTTTCCAGTGCTCCATACTGTACTGAATACATAAAATATAATATGAAATCCTTACTTATGAAAATTAAATGAATGATTGTCTTTCCACCTACATCACATTCTGCAGCACACACGGCTTGGCGGTGGTCCTTCTTGCATTGTTTCAATATAAAGCCATTTTATTCTTAACTGGATAATATTGGGTTTATTTTCAGATTTATGGATGAGAATATTTAATATTAAAAATATGACTTGTGTCCTATATTAAAAAATTCATGACGTTTGTCTTTTTTATTGCAGAATAACTACACTTGCATGTAAACATACACAGAGAATTTACAGTGCACTCACTATTACAATCATCACAGCGACAACAGAAATAAACCAAATAAATTATCCAGGGAATGACATAAACCATAATAACAAGTGAAATGGCTTTAAGTATATATTTTGTGTGCATATATAATCATTATAATACAAATCTGAAAGCAAGTCTATAATATTGCTACAGTTGCTGCAAGCTAGCCTCCCAACCATCAAAAGCAGATGTAGAATATCATTTGCAAAAGAACCTGACTGTAAGTACATTCATTTTACTAATTAACATACACCTTTATATTTCAAGATTTTACCCCATTTTCCCGAGAAGCCTCCGGTGTAAAGGTATAATGGAAGTACAGATACACTTCTTTGTGTAAAAGCAGAAGTTAGCTGAAGTCATTGTGAAAAGGGTCTATTGTAGAACGTCACCGCTGGCATTAATCAACAAGAGGCGGGACCAATCTCTTTTTGATATTATTTTTATTGTCTTTAAACACATCGTTCTTTAAAATGATCTTGCAACATATCAGACAAATATTAATTATAAATGTTACCTAGATGTGTTCATCACCTGTCTAGCCATGTGTATTGATACTAAAATAAATGTTCATCTTTTCAAATCTTCTATCATGTGTCATTATATAAGCTACATGTCGAACATCACCTGAGCAAACCGGGCAAAACAGGGCTCATCGCTTTCGTTTGTCAGTGAACGTGTTAATAAATAATAAATAATATCTTTTAAGATAATCAGTTAAACTAGCTAGCTGTTTTTAACGGTTGACGTTTTATAACATTTTTATATCTAAATGTTAGTGAAAAGAATAAAAAAATAAATAAAAATAGATATCAGTCCGCATATGTGATGGACATTGGTTACGATCATTTTGGTATCTACTTTGAAGGCATCTTGAGTAAAACCGCTTCATATTTAACAAAGCATATGCTAAATGCTTGAACCGGAAGCGACGAGACCAGGTTAACAGAATACAGAAATCTGTTGCACATAACCCCTATCTGGCTCGTGTGGTTTATGTTTCGCACTTCAGAAATGTGACGTAATTTCCGGTAAGGGACACTACCCAGCAAGCAATTTTGCGTTTAAAAGATGTCTATTAGCCGTCTAAACACAGCCCAGATGTCTAGGCTAAAACAAGGCTAAATTTGGGCTGTCAGTGAAAATCTAATAGACGTCTAACCATAGCCCAAGAATAGATTAGTCATCAATTAGACCGCTATTAAACAACGACATATATACATCTAATAGACAACAAAATGGCAATCCATCCAAACAAATTCAATATACAGCTTTTATTAAGGAAAATAAAATAACAACTTGGACAACTTAAGACAATACAAAATGATAAAAAATACTATTAATGACAAAATACAATTTTATAAATACAATACACTTAAATATAAATATTATGATTTTAAAAATCTGGAGTTTTTAACAACTTAAGATAATAAAAATGTAAAAAAAAAAACTTAAAATATTTAAAAGAAAAAAAAATCGAATACAAATCTAGAGCATGTTATCACACTTAACATTAAAACATTACGGATAAATGACAACATAAAAAAAAGGAAATTATTAATAATTGTTATAATAGTATAATAATAGTTTTATTTCTTGTTTAAAATGCTTCCTAACTGCATTCCTCAAGTTCAACTCTGTTGCTGCCGGGAAGCTGCTCATCACAGCATCTGCCAAATAAGAAAAAAAAAGCACAAGAAAAGCTTGACATAATTTTTTACTTTAATTACACTAATTGTGACAGGGAGTCATTCTCTTTTGCTTGGATGCCTACTAAAAACAAAAACGAGATATATAGTGTATCACCTTTCAGTGTGTTAAAAAAGAGAGGAGCTCTCTGGTAAATGTTGTGTGTTTTATACACATACCTCTAATGACCGAGAACCGTGCAGTCTTTTCAAATGCCTCTTTCTGCAGCGGACCACCCCCCTTCATGTTGAATTTGGACAGGAGGGAATTTTTTTTAAAACCCTAAAATATAATACAGATTGAGGTGGTTAACAATTGCGGACAAAGTTTGACATTTCAAAATGACCAGTAAAGGAATTATTTTTTAAATAGCTGATTTGCATTGTAACTTATTGAGTATTGACACCACAATGTTTGATTAATGTGGCAAGATTTGTAGGCTTTAGCTGTCCAGCATCCTTCTGGCACTGTCTTTGAGGTTTCTTCCTTCAACTCTGCACAACTTTGACACCTGAATAACACATGCCAATGTCAGGCGGGTAGTATATGAGTCCGTGTACAAGTGTTTACCAACCTTAAACACTGATGCCCATTGACCTGCAAGTTTTCCATCACTAACCCTTTAAAACTCTTTATTCCAGCGGTTTAAGTTTTTCCCTATTAGTGCCCCCCACAATCTGTCTCTGCCTCCAAAATTGTCTGGCACAGCTGACTTCATAACAACACAGTGATAGCTGCTGTAACTAAAAAGTAGCCCAGTACACTTTAACCTCAAATGTACATGGAATAATAAATTCACCCCCTACCGTTTTATTACATTATGTTTTCTGTTTGTGCTGTTTAGGTTTTAATCCTGCATTGCACATCTGAGCTATTTGCACTATTTTAATACTGCTGCAAACTTTTTACAATTGATAATTTTATATTGCCATTTTAAATTATTTGTATTCTTAAGCTTTACTATCAATTTGGAAGTTTCAAAATAAATCTTATTTTGTATAAGTCTTATACTTATATGAAAAATAACAGGTTAAATGTTAACCTATTTCGTTTCCATATAAACTATGATAAAATTAATCAGCATGCATTGATTCATCCCATGCTGCAGCAAAAAAAAACTATTGCGACCAAATCATGTGCTTATGTGAACAAATAAGAAAGTTAGTCGCAAAAGAGCCACCAGTGGGAAGAATGAGTCTGGAGCCCTGCTGTTGTTTATTTCGTTTATGTGGCCTCTGAGCCAGCTATGACCAAGCATGGTTACATTAACCCTAACCCTACTGTCCACTACTGTACTACTAGCTACTGTCCTGCTGATTTGATGCTGTCCGTCTGTCAGATGTGCCCGCGTGGTGTGGCCGCCGCGCTCATGCTAATTATTTTTGTTATGTTCTTAATACTGCTTATAATGACATACAAGCTTATGCTCTGATTAAAATGTGATGTGTATTCAAGCAGGTGTAACTGTTAGTTGTGTTGGCCTATTTTGATAACAGATGCATTTTAGGCTAGGCCCACCCAATTTTCTCTAACTGGGTAATTAATTTTCTCTTATCTAAACACAAGCGGTTTGATCTGCTTTAGGATCTCTATCTTTTTTTCTATACTGTATATAGTGCATTATTAAATTTTCTGTTTCTTAGTGTTATATTCCATCCTGTGTATGTCTGCACTATCCTGTATGTTTGCACGATGTCCGTACTTTCTTCTGCACTGAAGCTCTCCCTGTGTGTGTACACAAGTATACTCGGCAATAAAGCTCTTTCTGACTTCAGACTAATCTGAGTTCAGAGATGATCTCTGCTCTACTGCGGTCAAACTGACTGGGTTCTGAGAAACATGTTTCCAATCCACAACAGTGAGATCATTAAGCCTTTAGGGTTCATAGCAAAGAGTTAAATCAAGTGATTAAAACTTTTAATCAAATTATTACACGGTGTCATTTAATCAATCTAATTAATCACACGTCAAATTTGGCTGAGAAATGAACCCTAGAGATAATTTAAAGTCATTATTGTGTTAAATGAGAAAAAAAACATCAAATAGACATTATAAAAAGCAGCTGTAGAAATAAATGTTTTATTTGAGTCAACATAGAATTTATTACATATACATTGTTAGGCAGGGGCGCCGCTAGCAATTTTGGGCCCTATGAAAGGATATGAGGTTGGGCCCCCTACCGCACCAAACATACACTATATTGCCCAAAGTATTGGGAAAACTAAAAAAAACTCAAAAAAAAAAAAAAACCTAATCGCCAAAAACCAATGACTTGTACATATGCGTACAATCATTTTAGACACTTCCAAAACTGTGGCATGTATTTGTACAAGCCAGCCTAGCTACCCAAAATCTTTGTCTGCAATTTAATAATATTGACCTATTACTTTTGTTATTGCTTTTGACCATTAGGTATCAGTAACATAATTCATTCAGGACCTGTTTTATGGACAGAGACTTTCTGTACCACACTATTCTGCTGATATGGAATGAGTTTGACTACTTAATCAGTTATATTATTAGAAATGCTTCACTGGATCAAACAAAAAAATCCTAAAATAATAAATAGGATACCTCCAGGGCCGCATTAAGACCTCCCGGGGCCCCGGGGCTATGACTTACTGCAGGGCCCCCCATCACAATAATTATATATATATAGCTTAAAATAAATTTTTTTGATGCATTGCAATTTCACAATTCTTGTTACCAATTCCAATATCACAAAATAATAATAATTTTAAAAAATACTAGCCTAAGTAAAAACAAACTTACTGAAGACAAGTAATCAGTCATGCATTACAACAGAACAAAGACATTTACCTACAAACACTTAAAGCACTGAATAAGAAATATTATGTTGTATAAAATAAATAGACTACAAATAGACTGAATAGTCTTCACTGCTTAAATTCAATATACATTATTTTACAAAAGTGATTCAGTCAAGGACAGTGAGTGATTTTCTTTCTAATGTTTAATTTACATTATTGACACAAACAGCAACATCAGCTATATTAGGCTGCTTTGGAGGAATAGTTCACCCAAAAATTAAAGTTATGTTGTTGTTGTTCTAAACCTGAATGAGTTTCCTTCTG